ACATTGTCCACCCTCCTGAGATTCCCCATCCTTGTTGCAACACATTAATCCCAGGACTCTCTGGTGGGGTTTCACCAGTTCCATGCCTAATCTTTTTCTGATTTCACTCACATCAAATATTTGTAGCTCATAATACTCTGGCTACAGATATTCCTTTCTAAAAAACAAAACAAAACACCACAATTTTATATATAGAACAATTTTCACATCCCTCCTCTTGCATATAAATAAATCCCCTTTAAACTATCAGTTGATAAATGGTCCCTATTATCTCTCATGAGACAGATGTGGGGGGAAGCATGGTTTTATTTTCCCTTTTGCTCTATCTGATTATTTGCCTGGGGTTGGGGGAAATCAGGTGCTAGAGGTTTTGTTTTCCTTTATCTTTCAAATCCTAGCCTCTGTACCTAAAGCTCATCTGTCAATATTAAGGACTTACTGAAATGGCTTAAATGCTGTGAATCCCTGTATAGATTTATTTCTTTATTTGCCCCTCCTTCACGAGCTACAGCGACAAACTGCAATCCAAAGAGTAGATTGAATTGAAAATGAAAATATCATTTGACAGAGGAGGCTGATCTGTAAGGGCAAATGGGGCACACCACCCTCAGCCAGCTCCAGCTCCCTACCTGCTTATTTATAGTTGGTCAGTGGGTGACTTGGCTTATCAACCATCTCCTTACCTTCCATCCTATCAGTCCAAACCAGTCCATGTTCAAATATATAAAAGGATGTCACATAGATGAGGGAGAAAGGTTGTTTTCTGCTGCTCCAGAGAAGCGGACACGGAGCAATGGATCCAAACTACAAGAAAGAAGATTCCACCTAAACATTAGGAAGAACTTCCTGACAGTAAGAGCTGTTCGACAGTGGAATTTGCTGCCAAGGAGTGTGGTGGAGTCTCCTTCTTTGGAGGTCTTCAAGCAGAGGCTTGACAACCATATGTCAGGAGTGCTCTGATGGTGTTTCCTGCTTGGCAGGGGTTGGACTCGATGGCCCTTGTGGTCTCTTCCAACTCTATGATTCTATGATTCTATGATTCAAACTGGCTCCAGCCCTCACTAGTGCTGCCCCACCAACTTCAATCTGCCTTCAGCTACCCCATCAAATGCCAATCTTCTTACTTCCAACTAGTCCAAAATGTGGCAGTAGCTTGTGTGCTTCATCCTCTTCAGTCTTGGTGTTGCTAATGTACAACACAGCAGGAAAGAGGATGAGAACAAAATCAGTTAATTCTCTGTGTTGTTGGTCTCTTGGTCTCCATGTCTTCTGCCCTACCAGTCCCCAGGGCCAGCTGCCACTGCAGTTGGAGATGAAACATATCTCATGTTGATAACAACTGATACGCGAGGCTCATTGCCAGGCAGTCCAAACACAGTGCAAGTCACCAGTGTGTGTTGACAAGCCTCATTCTGGGCATGATCTGCATATGGAGAGACTTTGCCTGGCAATGTGTGGCCCTGGAAAGCAGTGAGGGAGGTGGAGTTACAGCTCCCCCATAGTGCTTATGCAAGATCTTGTGGGATAGGGAGCCTCCCACGACTTCTCATGAAAAGAGGATGGTATCAAGGTCCTGGGGCCATTTTGCCCCATGAGCTTGCCCCACAACAGCCTCTGTAAGCTATTGGACTGCTGGTTGACAAGGCTGGAAATTATTTGTTTCCCTCCCAACCTCAGTTGGCTCCCCTGTTGGGTGGGGTGTGTGTGTTTGCCTTCCCTTCAGTGGAAAAAGACTCAGTTACGTTAGGCACTGATAATCTGGCAGAAATGGCACTGGGCAGGATCAGCACAGAGAAGTGAACCATGTAAGGGGCTCAAGGGGAGAATTGGCTAAGGCATGGCTTAAGATTGGGTTAGGGCTGTTACCTGGCTGGAAGGCTTCTGATTGCCCAATGAGATCCTTGGTGATTCCCATGGATTGGGGTTGGATGCTTCCCCAACCCTTATGGAATGCCATTCCACCCCTAGGGGCTGAGTAGAATGAGAAAATAATCCTTGCCTGATTGCAATGCCAACCCCACTTTCCACTGCAATCAATTAAAAAATGCCTGATTTCATCCAACACAGGTTCCATCTCTCAGTTACAGGGTAAGTCCACCCATGAGGCAAGTTGAGGAGGCTGCCTCAGGCAGCAGGAACCACACAGGCAGCAGATCCTGATGTCAATCTTTATTCCCCCCAGCCTGCTTGTTGCTGATGTATATCTTCACTCACCCGTTCTTTCCTGGCAGGGAGGGGGCGTACCTTAGGTACCAAAACACTTTGGGCTGGTCCTGCTTAGTAAATTCACCATTTCCTCGGGGCTGCAGCTTGTGCTTGCCTGGGCAATGGTTCCATACCTGATGACAGGAGCGCCAACTTAACCATGGGTGCATGGCATGGGTGCAGTGTGCATGGCCCTGGCACCGGCCCATTCAAGGGAATTTTTTGCGGGTGCTTGAGCAACCACAGCCCCAGGGAGTTGGCACCTATGCTTGATAAGCTATTTTGGGCAAGTCTGGTTTTAGCTCAACAAAAATCTTCGGGTTGGACAGGTGGGGAAGTAGAGCTTATTGAAATAAAATAGACATGCAAATTCCTTGTGTTGTTTTACAAAACATTAGAATAAAAAGAGTATACAAGAAAAGCCTATTTAAAGAATGAGGCATAATGTTTTAGTGTTACTATCTTCTAGCTATTATTACCCAGCATTAGTCTCCCCCTCTTCTCCCCTTATATGAAAGCAATGCACTCTTTTAATGTGCTGCATGCAAAATATTGCTGCATGCCATCCAAATCTCTAAGTGGTGTGAGAATCCAGGGGCTCCAGGTACTTACCCAGGGTTCGTGGAATCATAGAATTATAGAGTTGCAAGGGACACAAGGGTCATCTAGTCCAACCCCCTGCAGTGCAGGAATCTCAGCTAAAGCATCCATGACAGGGGGCCATCCAACCTCTGCTGAAAAACCTTCAAGGAAGGAAAGTCCACAACCTCCTGAGAGAGACAGTTCCTGTTTCATTTTGGAATGAGGCACAGCAGAGACTGTGGTGTCTTTATGAGTTATGGTTTATTCACACACAAACAACCTGAGCCTTTGATGCAGTATTTCACAGAATTAAACACCTCCAAAAAATCTTATTTCTCCCATAGCTGCAGCCTTGGATTCAGACAGAAATCAAGCATTGCTCTCAAGCATTGCTCTGACTTTCTGTCCAGCTTGCTGCTTTACCTCTAGGCCATATCACTGCCACTTTGAACACTATCCTTTTGAATGAGGACCCCCACCCATTTGTTGTCTCACACAGTGGGGCCTTTCCTTTGTTTTCTTAATGGTCCATCACCCAGGTGATCACCTCAACACAGAAAGCTAGCCTGGCTTATATTTTAACACTTGTTGGGTCCAGGGGTTAGGAGGACACATACAGCCTACATACAGCCTCCTTCCTCTCCCCCCACCCCCACCCCACAACTCATAACAATATGCACATATATCTATCTATGTGACCATGTGAATTGAACAAGCACAGGTGATGCAATAATGCCTTGTATACAGAGTGGCAATGCCAAGTCAAAAGGCTAATTAACATCCTGCAGTCCCATTTCCTTCTTTTTATGGGAAATGTGGTTTTATACAACAAGTACTTTAGATTGAGACATTATTAAAGAAGACAAGTGGTGCAGTAAAACATGCTTCTGCTGGGCAAGTGACTGAATGAATGCAAATGTCACATGGAAAATAAGATAGTTAAAAGTATTGGTTCTTCTTTTTCAAAGCACCTTCCTTTATGCATTGTTGACTATGCACAAGGTGTAACTGACCAATTTTTAATCATATGCTCCTTTTTTAGCATTCTGAATTATTATCAATAATGATATTTTGGTTTAAAATTATGTTGGTTTGTTTTTAATGTTTGCTTTTGTCAGTATTTAATGATATTGTAGTTTGTTCTTTGGAAACTGCTTATGGGGTTTCTGATGAGTTAGTAGTGGTGTCATCATCATCATTTTATGTTAGCCAGGGATCCAAGTTGTGTTTTTTCTTCAAGCTAAAAAGTAAGAATTAGGGATGCTTCTGGGAATTTTGTCATCCATATTCCTTCTCAGGTTTTCTGAATTCCCTGTTACCACAGTGCTCCTACCTACCCCCAATCTCCAGCTTAGTGGTGTGTTTGAGGTGAGTTGGAGCCTTTGTATCCAAAACTTCCATTTGTCATCCTCCAGCATGCCTCCAATCCACCACCTGTACACCACCCTTTTAGGCCCTATTGATGACAGAACTCTGGTGTTAGTAGGTCCTCAAGATTCCATGCAGCAGAAGCGGAAAGTCTGACATTGGGCTGTAGCACACAGTTAGCAGTATACTTGTGCTGGCAGAACGTTGTTTCACAAGGGATAACACAAGTCGTTTGCTAAAGATTGTTGCAGAACAATGTTCTGTTGCCTTGGATTTCTTCATTGCTCAACCATTAAACATTCTGCTATCTGCTACTGCAAAGGACTGTTGTGGTAGTGGACAAAGAACGTTGGTTATGGCCCTCTGAATTCCCCTCACTTATATCTGAGCTCTTCCTCCCCACCATTGGAGAAAGAGAGCCAATGCTTTCAGTGGCCACAGAGGCACCCTTCCAAAGGACCTAATTGCAGGGTCAGTTATGACATTGTTTTGTCATTGTTTGAAGTTTATTCAATGCTATGCTATCTTTTTTTTTCCTTCTGACAACCATTCACTGAACACAATGCCCCAATTTTCTGGAGCTTTGTTGTATTTGATGGAGGGGGAGGATTTTCCTACAGGTCTTTTCATAGGTTACCTTGGAAGCAGTAGGATACTTTCTTTCAGATAATTATTATTTTGAAAAGTGTTTTCTATTTATCTGCGTGTGGTTTCTTGTGCATAATTTTACAGGGTTTAAGGTGTAATGCTGTGTCTCCTCTGCTTCGGTTCAGGATATATTTGGGGCATTCTCAAGATTATCACCAGGACTACCGCTATCACACAGAAAACACACATGTTCTATTATCTCATTCAGTGTTTTTTATTATTATTATTTTCAGTTGCCAGAAAGGAAATAAGCAAGTATTGGAACTGGCAATGCGCTATAACTATTATTACTGTCTCCTTGGTGCTGCAGCAGCTTGATGGCAATACACTTCTCCAAAATATACAGTAATTTTCTGGATGGGTTGTATCCTGTCTCCTGAAAGTGGGATTGTTACTTGAATATGAAAATTGTAGTTGAACTAAAGGTCTATAAAACACATAGTTGCTAGAGTTGCATAATTTGAGGCAGTAAGAAATGGGCAAGTGTGAAGTAGAAGTAATTTTGAGTAATAAGCAGTAGGAATGTAGAAGAAAGAAAGGGAAATAGTTTAGTAACAGAGTACCTGCTTTGCATGCAGAAGATGTCAGGTTCAGTCCACAGCTGCAGGTAGTCAACATGGACAGTGATGAGCTAGATGGACCAATAGTTTGACTTTGTAAAAGGCAGCTTCCTATGTTCCTAAAGACAAAACTGCCTGTTTTTTAGTCTGTGGTGCTTTTGTGTGTGTTTACTCAATTAGGTTATTCCATCCTGTTTATTTAAAAGTTTCTATATGAAAATGTGCATGTTTCTATATGAAAATGTACTAATACGCATTTTAGAATATATTATAATGCACTTCCTTCTTCTTCTTCTTCTTCTTCTTCTTCTTCTTCTTCTTCTTCTTCTTGACTTGAGACCTGCACCAGAACAATCAGGACGTGATGAATAGTATTCAACTCATATAATTCAATTTAGGGAGCAACCCTAACCTCTAGTCTATCCCCTGGTGAGAGATTGGATTGGATAGACTTGTCCCTCCAACTGGCTTCACTTGTAGAGAGCTCCACAATTGTGAAAGCTCCCACTGGGTTCACCAAAGCAGCAGCTGATGCATGGTTCTGAACCATAGCTGTCAACTTTCAGATTTGAAAATAAGGGATCAGCAGCCTCAAAAATAAAGGATCAGCAGCCACACCTGTCCCGGGGACAGTCTACAGGATATCTAACAATCCGGGATAGCAGCGGGAAGCAGTGGGAAATGGTGCTGGAATAAGGGAATTTCTCGCAAAAAAAGGGAAGGTTGACAGCTATGTTCTGAATCTGGGGGTAGCTGAAACCAGGCAATTCAAGGACAGAGCACAGCCCACCGAGGATCGACTATCTCCCAAGATGCCATATTGGCAGATGAGGGATTTTATTTGTGTCCTTCTGCTGCTCAGTCTGCATCTAGTGCAGCAAACAAACAAACAAACAAACAACAACCCCCCTAAAAACTGCCCCTGTGTTCCCACCCTGACCTGCAACAGCTGGCAGGGGTGCTGGCTCTACTGTTGCAATCATCTCCTGGGCTGGGTGGCCCTTGCTTACTTTTTCCTAAACATATTGGCAGCCTTGCTATTTTATTGTGGGCCAGCTAAAGCTTTTGAACGTTTTTCATACCTGATGCATAGCACATCTATCATGGATATAAAAAAGATGGCTCCTCTATTACCATAATGCTATTATAAAGATGTACAATGGTCTGCATTGCTCTTAGTGAAAGATTGCTTCTTGGTTTTCTTTTGGGTAACTGCACTATGATAGTCTAGCATACAGAGAGGAAGGGAACCTATGGTATTCCATTATTACACACACACACACACACAGAGAGAGAGAGAGAGAGAGAGAGAGAGAGATGTTAACTAATATTTGTGGGAAATTAATTGCTTTAGGGTGTAGGAACTCTTTCTGCACCTGTTGGGACATATCAAAATCCCATTTTGCTAATTTCTCTAGTTGGGTGATACATAGAGTCCTAATTACTGATCATAACATGCTACAGGGCTTCTGTACATGGAGTCTTCTCATCCAGCTGTGCTTATCTCACTGTTTATGTCTCTCTTGTGTTATGAGTCTCATCATAGTTTTGTTGTTGTTGTTTTAAATCTGGATTAGTGTTTGTTGAGAAACCATCCCATTATTCTGAGAACATATGTTCATGATGAGTAGAAGTCATGAACATTTGAACAGGCTCCATCTGGCTCTGATCAACCCAGTAACATGATACATGAAAAGTGTTAAGACAAAACAAAAAACCCTAACTAACTAAAATGATCATCAGTGAGCACAGAATGTAACCATTATTTACAGTTGTTTTTTATAAATTCATTTCTGTGTCTCAGGAATTGCTTCATTCACTGTGGATTGAGTTACAAACAGAAATGATACTTCATTTTAGCATAGCTCATTTTTAATGCTGGCTAAATGCATCTGCCATTGTTCTTGTTTGAATAAGCACTAGGGATAGGGGAGGAATGTGTTTGGTCCACTTTTTGCAGTGGGCCAACCCAATCCAATGCTCTCAAACTTGTTTGTGGATTGGAATGCAACTCCCATTCTGAATATACACACCTTTGTATTTTGCAGTTCAGTTACGGTACGCAAAAGCTATGCACAAATATATGAATTTTACACCAGTCTACATTACATCACATTAGGGAGCAGACCTACAGAGGACTCAATGGGGAAGGGCTCATTTGCCCACTTTGGCCCCTGCTTTATCTGCTCTCCCAGCTAGCAAGAGTGTGTGTGTTCTGCCTGCATCCATCTGTACTGATGTAATGCCTGCCTGCATGCCTGCCTGCAGGTAAGAGACCTTATTGGAATACTGCAGTGTTTGGTAGCTGGCTGAGTGGATACAGCTGTGGTGTGGGTATGGTCCAGGGCCTGCCTGGCTATAAGAAAATGTCTCAATTAATCAGGCGACAGATTGTGTGTATTTGTGTGCGTATAATTTTTAATACATGCACTTACAAAACTGCAGATAGCAAGCAGCATCTGTCTCACATCAGAGAAAATGCCTCTCTTAAGATGATGTGTGCTCCAGCACACACATGCATCATCAAAATGAAGGAAGTGTGCTTTATGCTTCAGAGCTGTTGCTTTTAGGCATATTTGAATGTATGCACATTTAATCAATTAATCAGCTAAAACTCATACAATTAATCAACTTAATATTTATTTCACCAGATGGCACAGCACTCAGTAAAATACATGTTAGCTTTTGTCCCATAAGGATAGCCTCCTGACATCCTGGCTCTGTTGTTCTGAAACTTTTCGACCAATTTTATCTACAATTTCATCCACTGGGATAGGCGTGGGGATTCCTGTCATAGAATCATAGAATTGCAGAATTTGAAGGGACCCCAAGGGTCACCCAGTCCAACCCCCTGCAGTTCAGAAATCTCAACCAAACTATTAATGCAACTTTCCTTTCCTTCATTTTCCTTCTTCCTTCATTTTCCTTTGCAGGGTGCTTTAGAAATTCTGTATAGTTTTGGTGGGTGTGGAATCAGTGGAGGCTGGTCCAAAAGAGCAAATCTACCTTCAGCCAGCCAGCCCCCCCCAAAAAATGCTTGCATTTCTACAACTAGCCACATCCAGAGAATGAGACTACCTGCCAGCTTCCTCCTTAGCCTTGGTGTTGCCCTTATGAACTCACCAGGGAGGAGGATGGGGCAAAACTGGAATTAGTTGGCTCTGGCTGTAATTGGTTCTGGTTCCACATCTTGTTGGGCATTTGGCCTTCTGCTCTAACAGTCCCAATGGGCATCAGCTGCCTCTTTATGGGATTGAGATTATTTTACCACTGAGAGATGGGTAAGAGTGCTGTGCATGTTGTTCTTTCCATTAAACAACTCACCAGTAAACTGCAGCCAGCTCTGCTACCCTCACTTCCTAATCTGAAGGTACTGAAAGAGTATCAAGTTGCAGCACAAAGGGCTTGGGGTATAGAATTGGTGGCGGGGGGGGGGAGATAACACGTGCAGTGTGATCTTCAAGAGGCAATGAAAACAAGGGCACTTTTCATGAATTTTGGTTCATTTTTTTAGAAAAAGGATGTGATTAGACAGTGCCCGAAATACCTGGAAATATTTGGGAAGCTGGGTTCTAACATTGGTCAGGCTTAGAACATGTCTGGTGGTACTAAATAAACTGCATAGTTTAGTTTTTAACGTATTGCTGGTTTTAATTTTTAAAATGTTTTAATTGTTTTTACTAATAATTGTACTTTCTTTCTTTCTTTTTGTAAACTGCCTTGATGTTTTCTGCAGTCAATTAGATTGCCTTATTTGAAATATATAAAAATGATAGATACAGGGAATGCAATTTCTGGACTTCCGGGTAGCCACGCTATGGTGGGTCTGATAGTTCCATCAGACATGACTTCACAGAGCATCGGGGGGAAGCGCTAAGATGAAGCGCAGGCCCCAAAAAACTCAGAAGGCAATCTGAGGTGTCGAGGGGTCCTGCTATCCATGAAAGGGCATCTCCAAAGTTCTGATCCCTGCCTTAGTGCCGAAAGGTGCTGGGAGTGGAGGGGAAGAGGTGAAAGCTGGCAGATTAGACAACAACGCGACTGCAAAAGTGAAGTCTCCGAACCAGCCTTACAGCGGTCGACTTCTCCAAAAGATTGGAGTTGACAACACAGCACAGGTGAGGAATACTCAATTTTACCAATTTGACAAAAACGGGAGTTTAAAAAGGAAGTTCGCTCCCGTCTATGGGCGTTATATTATGCATGTGAACTCTTACAAGGGAAGAGACTGAAGTCTACTGTGTAACTGAAGTCTAATGAGTAACAAGGATTAAATGATTCTACACAGCTTTCTTTAAAACCAATCTTGATTTTCAACGTTTTTCCTTTAATAATGAACTTGACATGAACTAGAATTGAACTTGAGATATGATTTTAACTTGACTTGGACTTGAATTTGAACTGGAGACAGATTACAACTTTAATATACAGAGGAGTGCTTTGAATTCCCTCTCTGAAAGAGAGACAAGATTGACTCTCTGAGACTATACTCTTGAAGAAGAACCTCTGATCTTAGAGAGCATTGAAAATATATAATTGGGGAAGGATTATATATTTTAGCTGGTCAAGCTTCAAGATTGAAAGAAGAGGATTACAATATCTGTCTGCAAAAACAAAAACAAAAATTTAGATTTAAATTAAGTTGATGGTTATAACATTTACTTGTATTGGACACTAAAACTATATTGATTTATATTGACGTAAAGATTTGAACATATTTTTTTTTCCTTCCTAAAATTGTATTTGAGACTAACCTTAGTAAGTGGGGGGGGGGAGGGAAGTGACGGAAGGCTACTAAAATCTTGTTCTTTCCCAAGCTTAGCAAAGTAGCCTTGACAAAGTGGTGATAAGGGTAAAAACAACATTGTTCTTGGTAGGAAAGGTCACTTTGTTTTGGAACCTAATTTCTATACAGGAAATGGGAAATTGGGGAAGTATTTAAGAAGTGTACAATAGGCCCCTCTTCTCAATAGATTTGAAATGGCAGAGGAAAAAATTCTAATATTATAGCAAGCCAAAAAGGTCTTTATACAAGAAGCCATGAGATTTGAACTTCATGATTTGTTCTCAGAATTTAAAAAAGAATTGACTAGCAGGCATGTCCAAAGTAAATTTCAAGTCCTTATTCCGGCCCGCTATTCGGTTTAATTCAGCCCCTGTGTGGCCTTCACAGATATTGGCACAACTTGTGTGTGTGTATGTTTTGGCTGCTGAGCTGTGCTCACCATTGTGAGGGCTGAGGGGGTGATGGTGATGCCTCCTCAGCTGCTGCCATTGTCTGTGGGTTGACTGTGATGTGACAAAAACATTTGTCAGTTGAGCGGGTATAAATGTGGGCCAAGGCGCAAGCCTCGGCAGTTGCCCTCCCCAGAGAGAAATGGGCAGCTCGGTGGCACTCAGCCCAGCTGGTCTCCTGCCTGTGGCGGCAAGCTGGCAAGCAGAAGGAGGCAATTGCCCGGTGCTGGGATGCTGTGGAGCAAGGAGAAGGCAAGTACAAAGTTTACTTGCTGGTGGGATCACTACTTGAAGGCGACTGATACCCAGCTCTGAAGCTGGTTGATGTCTGGCAATGGACCTGGCGAGGCTGCAGCTGGTGGATGGTTGTCAGAAGAGTTTGCATTCAGGCTAGTGGAAGCCATGAGGCTACGCCGGCTGAGATGGATGCAAACTGGTTTGGAAGCCTTGTTTGTGAACAGGCAGCCAAACAGGAGGAGTCTGAGGGGACGCTGTCGGATGGGGGCCATCTTACTCACCTGTTTGCCTTTGCCTTATAGGGATGTCTGGAGCCAGTGAGGTTTTTCCCAAGTCCAGCCTTCAAAGTCATGGAGAGAACTGCAGGACGTCCCTATTTACATCGAAGAAATGAACGTGAAATACTGTCAGTGAGCAATGGACAAGGCCGTGGCCATACCTGAGAGAAGGAGCTTTGAAGGGAGACTGCAGGTGGACAACTGCTGCATTGCAAGTGATGGGGCAGTGGGGACCAAGAAGAAAATCAGGGAGGAAACATTAGGCCACATTAGGAGCACCGTCCATTGAAAGTGCTATGAAGACACTTTGAACAGGAATGGCTTCCCCTCAGGGATTCTGGGAACTGTAGGTGGTTAAGGGGATGGAGAGTTGCTAGGGTAGTTCAGGATTAGGGCTAGGGTTAGAGTTAGGGGTAGGGTAGGGGAAGGGGAAGGGTTCCCTTGTCAGGGAACGCTGGGAAGTGTAGTTCTGGTTAAGGGTTAGCGTTAAGGTTAGAGTTAGGGTTAGCGTCAGGGTAGGGGTAGGGGTAGGATTCGGGTTCCCTTCTTGCCAGGGAGCTCTTGGAATTGCAGCTCTGGTTAAGGGTTCACCTTAGGGTTAGTGTCAGGAGTAGGGGTAGGAGAAGGATTTGGTTTCCCTTCTTGTCAGAGAACTCTGAGAATTGTAGCTCTAGTTAGGGGTTAACCTTAGGGTTAGAGTTAGGGTTAGCGTCAGGGGTAGAGGTAGGGTTGGGGTAGGGTTCCCTTCTTGCCAGGGAACTCTGGGAATTGTAGCTCTAGTTAGGGGTTAAGGGTTAGCATTAGAGTTAGAGTTAGGGTTAGCGTCAGGGGTAGGGGTAGGGGTAGGGTTCCCTTCTTGCCAGGGAACTCTGGGAATTGTAGCTCTAGTTAAGGGTTAAGCGTTAGCATTAGGGTTAGAGTTAGGGTTAGCCTCGGGTAGGGGTAGGGTTCCCTTCTTGGCAGGGAACAGGGGGTCCCCTAACAACTGTCCGCACCCTTTTCCAACTATAGCTCCCAGATTCTTTGGGGGAAGAAGCCATGAGTGTTTAAAGTGGCTTCATAGCGTGTTAAATGGTGTGGATGTGGCCCTGGCCTCCCTCACCCCACTGCCTCTTATTACTGAGGAATCGAAAGGACTTCCCCATTCAAATCGCTTGGAAACAGGAAACAGGAAGAAAAAAGACTTTTTCTCATACCATTTCGAAATGTCTTAACTTGAAATGCCAATAAAGGTTATTGTATTGTGTTGTGTTGTGTTGTGTTGTGTTGTGTTGTATTCTATTATGATTAACATGGGAAGTGGAATGGTAAAATGCTAATGAGGGGGACACAATACTTCTGTAAACTGGCATGTCCCTTGTTGTGGGCATGGAAGGAGGGACTTGCGGCCGGACAAGCCACTGATCTTGGGTTAGCCAATTGCAAGTTTGTATAATAAAAAACTTTTCTAATTCACCCATTTTGTCCAGATCACTTTATTTGAAAGGATGCAAAGACCTTAAGTCAAAGTGATTCTTCCTGTAAAATGTCTTTTAAGCCCATTAATGCTGAATGATTACAGAGCCTTTCCTTACATTGAAGCAAAGGGGTATAATTTCAGTGTATGTAAGGCAGAAGAATCGTTATATTAACTGCCTGTTTAGGGCTCCTAGGCCTAAAGTAAGTTTCCTGCAGTTCAGCTCTGAAAATACTTCCTTGTGTCTTGCTCTCAGCCCCAGCAGCTGATTTTCAGGGGGGAGCCAGGTTCAGTTGAGTAAGGATACCAACAATGAAAACGAGGTGTTTGGTCTTGCATAATGTCACCGTTTGGATACAACTTGAGCTGTTAAAAGGTTTAAGCGCTTGTTCTGGGAGTTCAAAAGCATTCAATGCAATCCAGAGAAGAATTAAGCCTTGCTTGAGTCCACTGAAATAAAAACCTAAAACGGAGCACTTCAGATGGGCAGGATATAAATAAATTATTATTATTATTATTGGCTTTCACAAAATGTTCTTTCACATTCTCAAATGACCAAGACCTAAAGGAAAACAAAAGCTTTGTTTGGGCTTCAGTGTTTAAATACTCAATGAGCTCGCACTTCCTGTTTGTCTGCCATGACAATTGGCTATGCCAATTACAAAGGAGCCATTCCATGCTGGTAATTGAGGATAATATGGGAGTAATTATCCCTCCAACCCTCCCAGGGTTGGGGGGGCACTCCAACCACAGATCGTCCTGATACCTGCTGTCCGTCCAGAAGGAAGAGGGGACAGGGGCAGCTGTGTGTAAGTCGCACAGTTGTGGCAACTATCCAAAGCTGGCCCCATGAGCAAAGGACACCTATTTTTTAAGATAAAAATTCGGACTTAACGGGCATGCTCTGAACCAGCGGAGATAAAATAACTTGCTGATTTAATCAGCCACTGAGAAGGATTTGATCTGGGGAAAGACTTTTGTCAAGACCAAAACAAAATGGCTTGAAATACGTAAGTGGATGCTATCTTAATTAAGAAACGGACTGTGTGAAATTTTGACTATGATTCTGGCAATGATCATTAAGGGAAAGATGAAAGGAAATCCTGATGGAGCTATTGTTTCAGTGTGGAGGCATCATCTTATTAACAGCTGGAAGGAGGCCAAGGCAGAGTTTTGGATAATTGCCCAGGATTAATGGTGGACTATGACACGGGTGGTGCTGTGGTCTAAACTACTGAGCCTCTTGGCCTTACTGATCAGAGGGTCAGCGGTTCAAATCCCCACAACAGGGTAAGCTGCTGTTGCTCAGTCCCAGCTCCTGCCAACCTAGCAGTTTGAAAGCACTCCCAAAAGTGCAGTAGGTACCACAACAACAGGAAGGTAAACGGCCTTTCCATGCACTGCTCTGGCTTCGCCAGAAGTGGCTTAGTCATGCTGACCACATGACCCGGAAAAACTGTCTGCGGACAAACGCCGTCTCCCTCGGCCTGTAAAGCGAGATGAGCTCTCGTGGCTCAGTTCCAATCCCCACAATGGGGTGAGCTGCTGTTGCTCAGTTCCAGCTCCTGCCAACCTAGCAGTTTGAAAGCACGCCCAAAAGTGCAAGTAGATATAAAGATACTGCTCTGGCGGGAAGGTAAACAGTGTTTCTGTGCGCTGCTCTGGTTTTGGTGTTCCTTTGCACCAGAATTGGTTTATTCATGCTGGCCACATGACCCAGAAAAACTGCGGACAAACGCCGGCTCCCTCATCCTGTAAAGTGAGATGAGTGCCGCAACCGCAGAGTCGTCTGCGACTTAACTGGACTTAACTGTCAGGGGACCTTTACTTTTTTTTATGACGCAGTTAAAATATCTCTGTGTGTAGAAAATGGAAAAAAAATATTAAAATGGAAAACTTAATAAATATTATATTCAAAAATAAATAAATAAAATAAATACTCAATGACCTGCCTTTCAAATAAGTGGAAATGAAGCAGCTGGTTGCCATGGTGAAATTATGATGACACTGTCACTCTGTAGTGGCAGTGCTGAAGTCCTAAGTCAGATTCAAGGGGAAATTTCCCCCCAAGGTCCTGCCTACCAGCTAACAGTGAAGCAAGGTTTTCCAGTAAAACATGAAATGGTGCACACGCTACATCTTGTTTGGGCACTTAGTTCATAACTTTTCTGTTAGTTAAATAATAATAATATTTTATTAGTTATCCCCAGCTACTATGGGCAGCTTCTAGCAAAATATGAAAAATAATGTCAAACATAAAAAACTTCCTGATACAGGCTGCCTTCAAGTATCTTATTAAAGTTCTGTAGTTCTTTATCTCCTTACCATCTGACAGTGGGGGGGGGGCATTCCACTGGGAGGGCACCGCCACTCAGGAGGCCCTCTGCCTGGTTTCCTTTAACCTCTTTTCTCGCAGTGACGGAACCGCCAAAAGGCCCTCGGAGCTGGACCTCAGTGTCCGGGCTGAACGATGGGAGTGGAGACGCTCCTTCAGGTTACTGGGCTGAGGCCATTCAAGGCTTTAAAGGTCAGCACCAACGCTTTGAATTGTGCTTGGCAACACTGTTGGGTTGAAATAACGACAGACGAGTAGCAAGTGTCATGTGAGAGGCATCTCTTGAGCAAGCCCCAAGGAGACTCTTTTATTGAATATTACAACATTGCCACAGGTGCGCTCATTGCTGATTGGTTGACACAAACACAAAGCAACTTGTTGCTGATTGGTTAACACAAGTACAAAGCAAAGGTTACATATAGGCATTAATCACCAATAGATTAAAGGCTGGGAAAGGGAGCACAGAATTAGACAGGCATGAAACCTCCTAATTAAATTATAACTAGTGATTGATATAGCAAGACTAAAACAATTACTAATGATTGATCATAACATGAAAGAATATAATAATCGTGTTCCGTAGATGTGGTCAACTATGCATTAAGAACAGGTCAGAGTATAATGTTTTCATGACCTTAATATGAACTGAACATCCTAGGGAGATGAGGGAATGTCTTGGTATTTAGAACGGGTTGTGCAGCATGTGCAGAAGCAGAGAAAAGCTTAGAAGCAAGACTTCCCATCATGCCACAGTTATGTGCAGAAGCAGAGCTTCCCTTCATCTCCCTCTTTCTTTTCTTGTTTGCGAGGTGTTCTGGGTGAATAAGACAAAAATACTTCGGGATACGTGGTATGCCAGCGCATGCCTGAAATAAGTTCGCCAGGGTTGATGGGACAAAAATACTTCGGGATACGTGGTATGCCAGCGCATGCCCGAAATAAGTCCGTCCACATCTCCCCTAATGTTTACTGTTGGTGCTGCCATTTCGCAAAGTAGGCAGCAATGATTTTATTGGGTGGCTGAGGGGGAGAGAGAAGCCGAGACAAAAGACTTATGAGTCCAGGAATGCATTGGAGGAAGCAACATAGCAAAATTAATATACATATAATGACAATGGCATATTGAAAGAGATTACGAAGCCAAGTCAGGTTTGGCAACCAAGCGGTAAGCCACTGGGTGAAAGAATCCCAGAGGCCAGAAAATCCAACGTCCTGTTTAATGTGGTGTGTAAGATTTTGCAAATGAGAGATTTGGCTTTGAATGGCTTTAGAATTATCAGTAATATTGAAACAACACATGTCGGCCACTTGTTCACGGCCATAATGATGAAGCATCAATAAATAATCGACAGCAGTGCAGTTTTGCAGAAGGCCATGCTGGAGTTCACTCTGTTCTTTATGGGAGCCTTTAGGACTGGTGCTATATGGTCCCAGTTGCCACTCCCAGGCCCCAGTCCAGTTGCCGCATTCTGGATTAGTTGTAGTTTCTGAGGCACCTTCAAAGGTAGCCCCATGTAGATCGCATGGCATTAGTCCAAGCAGGAGATAATGCTTGTCATCCTAAGAGCTGTGCTTCTCTCTTCCAGTTCTATGTGGTGAAAGTGGACTATGACAAGCTGAAAAAGGAGCGCCCAGATTTCAGAAGAGCAAATGTTCTCCCTCTACAAGCTGCAAAAGTTGAAGTGGTTTAGGTCTTCCAGAAGCCACCCGCACAACTCATACACTTAAATCATCCAGCAAATCTTAAAACTGATTGCACAATGAGCTTAAGTTAGGCATGTCCAAAGTCCGTTTTGGGGGCCAAAACCGGCGGTTGGTTTAATCTGGCCCCTGTGGCAGTTTATTTCCTGGGGTAAAAAACTGAAAAACCTCAACAACTTCAATTCTAAAAAAAGGTTAACACCTTTGGTTGGCCCTTTGGTCAGCCCTCACAGCCCTTCACTTCATCAAATCTGGCCCACTTTGAGAAAAGTTTTGACACCACTGAAGGGTTAAAGTCAAAGAGTTCAAGAGAAGCAGAGAAGGGGGTGCTGAATGTTAGCAGTTTCATTCTCTCCTGTGATGCAGAGTGTGTGTGACTACTGGATCACATGCTCTGTGTTGACATTCTTTGGAAGCTGGGAATGGAAGGAACTGTGTGCCACTTCCGTCTTCTTTGTTCTTTGTTCTTTTCTGTTGTTCTCTCATGGAGGGCCCCCCCATGCTGCTTCCGTTGGAAAAGGGGCGTGGTTTAAGTAGCCCGGTCGCCTTTCCCATTCCCACTGTGCCCTGCCCCTTTCCCTGCAAGTGTTCAGGTGAGTTCAAAATGCCTTGGGGCGCAGCAAGCTTGGGGAGGGGCTGGGGGGAGGATGCAATGCCAGTGTGATGATGGAAGGGGAGATAGCAGGCAGGGAAGCTGCTGGGCAGGTGGGGGAGGGAAAGAGACCCTCCCTCCAAAAAATGAAGGGAGGTGGGTGTGCATCTGAGGTCCCTCCCCGCATTTTGAGTATTCCAAATAGCAATATGGATACTATAAACACATGCAGAAAGGCAAACGTTTCCTCAATTTCAGCTGAGTTTCTTGCAATCCAGGGGGTTGGACAACCTATTTCTTAATAGGTTTAATTGGGTTTAGTGCTTTTGATGGGGCAGTGGGGAGAGAGAAGAAAATGAGGGAGGAAACATTAGGCCACATTAGGAGCACCGTCCATTGAAAGTGCTATGAAGCCGCTTTAAACAGGAATGGCTTCCCCTCAGGGATTCTGGGAACTGTAGGTGGTTAAGGGGATGGAGGGTTGTTAGGGTGGTTTAGGATTAGGGTTAGGGTTAGGGTTATGATTGGGTTAGGGTAGAGTAGGAATAGGGTTCCTTCTTGCCAGGGAACTCTGGAATTGTAGCTCTAGTTAAGAGGCAGGGGTAGGGGTAGGGGTAGGGGTAGGGGTGGGGTTCCCTTCTTGCCAGGGAACTCTGGGAATTGTAGCTCTAATTAGTGGGCAGGGTTAGGGTTCCCTTCTTGCCAGGGAACACTGAATTGTAGCACTAGTTAAGGGATAAGGGTTAGCATTAGGGTTAGAGTTAGGGTTAGACTCAGGGGTAGGGATAAGGTTCCCTTCTTAGCAGGGAACAGGGGGTCTCCTAACAACTCTCAGCACCCTTTTCAAACTATAGCTCCCAGATTCTTTGGGGGAAGAAGCCATGAGTGTTTAAAGCGGCTTCATAGCGCGTTATATGGTGTGGATGTGGCCCTGACCTCGCTCACCCCACTGCCTCTTATCAATGAAGAATCGAAAGTTAATGGCAATTGTGAATTCACATGATGTGAATTGTGAATTATGATTCACAATAATTATGAATTATTATTTACGATCTACGATTCATGATATTTATGAATTATGGATTCTGATTCATGATTTTCAAAGCATGATATTTATGAACTATGAATTATGAATTATGAATTACAATTAATATTTATGAATTATGATTTATGATTCATGCTATTTATGAATCACGAATCATGAATTATGAATCACGATTTATGATTCACGATTCATGATTTAGGATTCATGATATTTATGAATTATGATTTAGGATTCATGATTTAGGATTCATGATATTTATGAATTATGAATTGTGATTTATGATTACGATTCATGATATTTATGAATTATGAATTGCCATTAACTTGAAATGCCAATAAAAGTTATTGTATTGTATTGTGTTGTGCTGTGTTGTATTCTATTATGATTAACATGGGAAGTGGAATGGTAAAATGTTAATGAGATGAACACGATACTTCTGTAAACTGGCACGCCCCTTCTTGTGGGCGTGGAAGGAGGGACTTGCGGCTGGACAAGCAACTTTATAAGATGTTTTTCTTGATGAAGATGTGCCTGATCTTGGCTTACCCCATTTGCAAATGTGTGTAATAAAAAACTTTCCTAATTCACCCATTTTGTCCAGATCACTTTATTTAAAAGGATCCATAGACCTAAGTCAAAGTAAACAGTTTATTTATTTCTCACAAAGGGCAAAATAAATAAATAATACCAATCCCTCAACTACGAAAAGCAAAGTTTTTGCAGCAGTGTAAAAACTAACAGATTTGGGGAAAACCTTTTTTAAATGGTAGGGTCAGGTGGCCTTGGTGGGTGCTAAGGAGGGTTTCTGAGGGTGCCATGGAGTCCACATGCCACACGTGTCACGCGGGGAGGGGCTCATCAGTCATTATTTGTTTATTAATAAATGCACCCCCCCTTGAGGCCTAGTTTCCACAGCCCTGTCTATGTATGGTCTCCTGTGATGTCACAAACAGACATAGCAGCTGAGGGGAAAGAGGCAGTTTCTTATTCTAGAATTTCAAACACAAGAGGGCAGGAGGGGGACATTTTTCAGCCCAGGGGCTGCATTTCCCTCCACACAACACTAGTCCAATGTACAAATGAATGGAGCAATGAAAGCAAGCCTTATCTTTGCAGAGGAAGCTGTTCAAGGAATGACATGCAGAAATAAAGCACTAAACCCAATTAAACCTATTAAGAAATAGGTTGTCCAACCCCCTGGATTGCAAGAAACTCAGCTGAAATTGAGGAAACGTTTGCCTTTCTGCATGTGTTTAAAGTATCCATATTGCCATTTGGGCGTGCTTTCAAACTGCTAGGTTGGCAGGAGCTGGAACTGAGCAACAGCAGCTCACCCCATTGTGGGGATTGGAACTGAGCCACGAGAGCTCATCTCGCTTTACAGGCCGAGGGAGACGGCGTTTGTCCGCAGACAGTTTTTCCGGGTCATGTGGTCAGCATGACTAAGCCACTTCTGGCGAAGCCAGAGCAGTGCATGGAAAGGCCGTTTACCTTCCTGTTGTTGTGGTACCTATTGCACTTTTGGGAGTGCTTTCAAACTGCTAGGTTGGCAGGAGCTGGGACTGAGCAACAGCAGCTTACCCTGTTGTGGGGATTTGAACCGCTGACCCTCTGATCGGTAAGCCCAAGAGGCTCAGTAGTTTAGACCACAGCACCACCCGTGTCATAGTCCACCATTAATCCTGGGCAATTATCCAAAACTCTGTCTTGGCCTCCTTCCAGCTGTTAATAAGATGATGCCTCCACACTGAAACAATAGCTCCATCAGGATTTCCTTTCATCTTTCCCTTAATGATCATTGCCAGAATCATAGTCAAAATTTCACACAGTCCATTTCGTAATTAAGATAGCATTCACTTACGTATTTCAAGCCATTTTGTTTTGGTCTTGACAAAAGTCTTTCCCCAGATCAAATCCTTCTCAGTGGCTGATTAAATCAGCAAGTTATTTTATCTCCGCTGGTTCAGAGCATGCCCGTTAAGTCCGAATTTTTATCTTAAAAATAGGTGTCCTTTGCTCATGGGGCCAGCTTTGGATAGTTGCCACAACTGTGTGACTTACACACAGCTGCCCCTGTCCCCTCTTCCTTCTGGACGGACAGCAGGTATCAGGACGATCTGTGGTTGGAGTGCCCCCCCAACCCTGGGAGGGTTGGAGGGATAATTACTCCCATATTATCCTCAATTACCAGCATGGAATGGCTCCTTTGTAATTGGCATAGCCAATTGTCATGGCAGACAAACAGGAAGTGCGAGCTCATTGAGTATTTAAACACTGAAGCCCAAACAAAGCTTTTGTTTTCCTTTAGGTCTCAGTCATTTGAGAACGTGAAAGAACATTTTGTGAAAGCCAATAATAATAATAATAATAATAATAATAATAATAATAATAATTTATTTATATCCTGCCCATCTGAAGTGCTCCGTTTTAGGTTTCTGTTTCAGTGGTCTCAAGCAAGGCTTAATTCTTCTCTGGATTGCATTGAATGCTTTTGAACTCCCAGAACAAGCGCTTAAACCTTTTAACAGCTCATGTTGCAAAACTAAACGGTGACATTATTCAAGGCCAGACACCTCATTTTCATTGTTTATCCTTACTCAACTGCACCTGGCTCCCCCCTGAAAATCAGCTGCTGGGGCTGAGAGCAAGACACAAGGAAGTATTTTCAGAGCTGAACTGCAAGAAACTTACTAAGTGCCTAGGAGCCCTAAACAGGCAGTTAATATTATGATACTTCTGCCTCACACGCACTGAAATTATACCCCTTTGCTTCAATGGAAGGAAAGGATCTCTAATCATTCAGCTTTAATGGGCTTAAAAGACATTTTGCAGGAAGAATCACGAGTCAATGGCAGAAACTTAGGGATCTATCATGCTTATTCAGTCAGAGTTTAGAAGATTGAACTGGAGAGGAGAGTGAAGAATCATAGAAGGGACCCGAGGGTCATCTAGTCCAACCCCAAAATGCTGTGATCACATACCCCAGGCCTTCCAAACCTGAAGCTTATTATTCCTCCCACCAAATGGTCTTTATTATTATCATTATTACTTGCCCTTCAGCCATAGATGTCAGGGATGGGGCTGGTGGAAGTTGGAGTCCCAACAATCTCTGCTGGACACCAGGCTCCCCATCCCTGGCCTATACGATAACCAGCATCATAACCCTAGTTAAGTATTTCATACCATACCTTGTACTGGTCATTGGGTCCTAGCTCGTTCCAAGGCTCTGGGTTGCTCTTTTTGTCCCAGCCAGGCAGAAAAATGTGACCAGAGGCAGACAGCAAGGAGCACATCTGTGTAAGAAGAAGAAAAAATACTAAACAGATAATAAATACTGTGAGTATGGCAGCCTCTCAAATGGAGAAAAATGTGAATTCACTGGCACAGGTGATGGGACAATTTAAAGAACTGAATGTTAAAACCACTGAGGTGGAACAAGAAGAGGTGTGAGGTTTGAGGAAAATACGGGGGAAACAAAAGGTGGTGGTAGATGAAACCAGCACCTCGTGGGAATTGCTCTGGGGTGCCATGGCTATTTTGGAAATGAAACAGGAAAGGAGGGTGACTCGTTTGAGAGGCTACTATATGTGGTGGCAATGTAAGGTTATTTTAAAAGCTTTGATAATGATATAGAATGATTTGAAGAAAATGCTTAAAATAACCTTTGTTAAAAAAAATGGAAGCCTTGACACTGGTTTATCAAGGATTAAATGTTTTCATAGAGCAGAAGAATTTCCTCCTGTATCTGATAGCAGCTGCTCAGCCATGATCATCCCAGAATTTGAAAAAGAAGAAGCCCCCACCAAAGAAGATAAAGAAGATTGGTAAAGCAAATTAATGGACTATGCAGAATTGATTAATTAATTAGAAACCCAACAAAATAAGAGGACAATAATTTGAAAAATGTGAAATATTTATTGCATATTTCCATAGCACTGTGTACACTATTATACATTATCAGGAATTTGAAAAACACTTGTAATATGATGAATAATGTATAAAATTGGAAATTATTGTGAATTGAAGATATTAAGGACGTGCATGAACAAATGTAAAACAAGAAAACCAAGAAGGGGAGTAGAGGGAAGTCAAGGAATTTTAGAAATCTCATCTTTGCGAGTTATTATGGATTGCATATATAGTTGATCTAAGGATTATGGTATGGTTATTTTTATGTGGTATTTTTTGTTATATCACATAAAACACTATTTTTAAAAAAGGAATGCAATTTCTCATGTATCAACTGTTCTCCTGGAGACAAATATACTGCTATCTTGGGAAACGTTCATCAAGCAAGGCATTTGTCTTGTGCAAAAATAACTTGTACTCATATGCAAGATAATTGACCATTTTGTTTCTAGTGAAATAAAATTTCTTAAAAGAAAGGAATAATTTTGATGTTTGTTTGATGTTATCTCTTTAACCAGAAAGTATTCAGTGCAGCCAGTATAGTTAAAATAAGATGGGGGAAAATGGTGTGTGGGTGTTTATCTATCTATCTATCTATCTATCTTTAAATGAGAAGTGTACATTTCACATTTTGTTGTTTTTATTTTGCCATGTTGATGAGTGTGTGTATGAGGGAGAGAATGCATTCAGAAAACTTTGGGCTATACCAGCAGACATATTGATGATTCTTTGGACATATTAGACAAAATTTCCACACAATGCTCTGAAGTCCCCCAGAGGGACTTCAGGGTCTGTTGCAGGCAATGCAGAGATCGGTCGTCTCGAGTGACCCAATTGCTGTGAGGAGAAGGGAAGGTGGCGAAGGCAACACACCTACGAAACCCTCCCTGAAGGTTTTAGTTTGGGTTCTGGAGGGTCCAGGAGTGTTGGTGAACCCTCTCACGAAGTTCTCAGCTCTGGAGGGAGCTGAAAGGGCTCCAGGATTGAACGCAGACACACGCTGAGAACGAGACCACACAGCAAAAAGCTTTGAGATCCATCATCAAAGCGGTGACCTCTGTAAAATAAAAGGATCAGGAATCAATTCAAAAGGTTAAAAGGATATAATTTTTTGATTATGAGATAATTTGAGCCACACACCAGGGAGGAAAAAAGGAGCCCCCCCTTCCCGGACGTGGGTATAGAACTGCATGAAATAAAATCTTCTGGGGAAACAAAAGAATAAAGAATAGATATCTACCCGCTAATGTGTTTGAACACAAGAATACCAGTAAATGAACTGAGTTAAGACTGTACAAAATTTGATGCTCCCCCCCCCATTTTATTTTTGAAAGTATCTTCTGGGAAGTCCACCAAACTGCAGTTGGAAAAGTTATTTTGAGCAGTGGGAAAATGAAAAGACGACCTGGATTTTATTATTTATAGAACTGAGGTTTATGAATATCTTTTCCCCCCTTTCCCTTTGCTTTCCATTTCCATGTGATTTAAGAGACAGATATCACAAGTATAGATTTTAGAACTTTAATATTGGGAAGTGCCAGGATTAGAACTGTTTGGGGGGGGGACTGACACTATCTAAAGAAAGCTGATAACACCACAGCAGTTGAAAATATAACAACAGATATTAAATAATTATCTCATAAAACATTAGAATTGGAGGAAACACTGCAAGAATTAAAGCTCAAAACCTCAAATTTAGAAAAATCTTCTAAGAAAGTACACATTGAGGTAAGAGAAGCAAAGAGAGAGCAAGAAAGTATGAAAGAAGATATGGAAGCGGTAGGTACTTCATGAACAGACACTGGATGCAATGGCCATTTTAGAATTAAATCCAAAAGAACTGGTTCTTTGATTGAGCGGCATTCCAGAAGATTTGACAGTAGAATTGAGTGAAACAACGATAATAAAAGAACCTACTAATTTGATTGAATTGGGAGAAGATGAGGTCAGTACAGGTGTGGACAAATTTTTTGAGTAAAAGCAAAGTATGCAAAAGCAAAAAACAAAAACAAAAAAAGCTGCCAGGTGACGGTATGGTAACTTTTAATTCAAAAAGAGTTAAAGACAGAGGAATAAAAAATGCATTATCAGAAAAATCTTCAGATTGATGGTCACCTTTGGAAGCCATAGCAGTGAAAAGGAAAAATATGATGGAAAATTGGGCAACTTACAGAAATTTCTTGAGAGAAGAAGGTGGAGAATTTAAATTAAAAGAATGTAAGGATTTATCAGAGATGTTAACAACATGGTTACAATATCATCATCTGAATGAAGTATTTAAAAAGGATATAAAGCGGATAATTTGCTGCTGAAATGGAATACTCAGGATGAAACGGTAAAATCGGCTATGATTAAATGGGCACAGGACATTGGACATAATATCATGTTTGCTGACTGGGAACAGTTGTGGACCACAGGTATGAAATTTACGGCATGTAATGCCTTAAGAGAGAATATTATGAAAATGATATACAGGTGGTACATAACCCCAGTCAAGCTTGCAAAAATCTACCATTTGCCCGATAACAAATGTTGGAAATGTAAAGAAACCGAAGGTACATTCTTTCACCTTTGGTGGACGTGCCCAAAGATTAAGGCTTTCTGGGAAATGATATATAATGAATTAAAAAAGGTATTTAAGTATACCTTCCCTAAGAAACCAGAGGCCTTTCTCCTGGGCATAGTCGGCCAAAGAGTGGTAAAAAGGATAGAACTAACTTTATGTATGCAACAACAGCAGCAAGAATACTTATCGCAAAGTATTGGAAGACACAAGAACTTCCCACACTGGAGGAATGGCAGATGAAACTTATGGACTATATGGAATTGGCGGAAATGACTGGTAGAATCCGTGACCAGGGAGAAGAGTCGATGGAGGAAGACTGGAAGAAATTCAAAGACTATCTTCAGAAACATTGCAAAATTAAGGAATGTTAAAGTGATGTTGGACTGAAAATAAGTGGTTTCCAGCTGCACAGGTTAAAGTTAATGATAGATTAAGATTAAAGATCAAGATTAAAGATGTTTAAAGAAATGGAAATTTGATATTAAAAGGGAAAATTTTAACGTTATATGATATTAAGATCAAGGATTAGGTTTAAAGAAGTTGAAGTTATATATTTTAATATATTATTAAATTAAAGATTGGGATTAAAAAGTGGAAAAGAAACTGCTGGACAAATAATTTGGATTGGAATACAAAAGAGGGAGGTATGAGGAAGTCCAGAAAATAAGTAATCTAAAAATGGAAATGGAAAAGAGAGTTTGTTTTAAATTGTTATGTTTTTTGTTTTTTATTGTTGAGTTTTGTATTGCTTTTTGTATGTGTTGTTTTTTTGTTGTTTAAAATTTTAATAAAAATTATTTAAAAAAAAAAAAAGGATATAAAGCGGGGGTTTGGGGAACAAACATCACAACTAGAAAGTGACCTGTAATGTTAAAGTGATATCTAAAATATATAAGATGTTATTGGAATGGAAGACAAAGAATGAACATGTGAAATCTTTAGTGATACACTGGGCAATAGATATTGGTCATAATATCAGTGGTGGAGCTTCATGCTCCAGCACCGGGGGGCAGAGAGCAGGCTGGGGTGGGGCTGGCGCATGTCCCAGGGGTGAGGCGCACCGCCTGTAGGGGTGTGGCGCACATCCTGGGGGCATGGTGTACTACCCGTAGGGGCATGGCACCCAGTGTGTGGGGGGGGGAGCTGTGATGGCACCCCACCAGGATCGCGCTGCCAGGGGCGGTGCGCTCCCCCCGCACGCCTCTTCCTCCGCCAGTGCATAATATAGAAATGGATGCATGGGAACATTTATCGAATGTGGATATAAAATTTACAGCATGTTATAGTTTAAGGGAAAACTATATGGAAATGTTATATAGATGGTACATAACACCTAGTAGATTGGCTAAAATATATAAATCCAAATTCAATATGTGCTGGAAATGTAAAGAGAAAGAAGGTACCTTTTTTCATATGACTTATAATGAGGTTAAAGTTTACTGGGAAATGATATATTATGAACTGAAAAATATGTTTAAGGTCATATTTATTTTAAAAACCAGAAGCTTTTCTTTTGGGAATTATGAGATCAGAACCACCTAAACAGTATAGAAATGTATTTATGTATGCAACCACAGCTACAAGAATGTTATTTGCCCAAAAATGGAAAGAAGAAGAGGTCTCAAGGAGAGAAGAATGGATACAGAAGTTAATGGGCTACGCAGAAATGGTGAAACTTATTGGGAGAATAAGAAATCAAGATAATAATTTTTAAAGAAAGGAATGGAAATGATTTATTGAGTATTTACAAACAAACTGTAAACAGATTAAGACATTGACAGGAATAATGTAAAAACCTGCAGTTTCAATATACATATAGGATACATACGGGAATAGATATATAGAGGTAATTTGGAGTATGCAGGAAGATGAAAATAAATGTAAAGAACCACATAAAGAGAGGGAAGAGAGTTAGAGGTTTAAATCTTAAAATTATGATTGAATAATTGTGAGATTATATATATATTCCATTTATATATATTCCAACAATTATTATATATTATTATATATAAATGAGAATTGCCCCAGAGGAGAGTACTTATTTAAAGTCAATCCTGGAAATGTACATTCCCTGAGTGACAAAATTATGGCTTTCCATAATGATGGGAGGTGTGAACTCCCAGTCTTGCTGCTGGCTTCAAAATAGGATCAGACAAATTCATGGGTGATAGGGCTATTAATGGCTACTAGCCTTTATGACTAGCACTCTGCCCCCACAGATGGGGGCAGTATTGCTTCTGAATACCACCTGCTGGATACCGCACCACAGCAGGGGAACCTGCCCTTGTGCTCTGGTCATGCTTGTGGGTATCGTCTCTCGCAGTGGTCAGCCAGATGCCTGCAGGAACATGATCCTGGTCTAGATGGACCACTGTGCTATTCTTAAGAGCTGCATTCCAAATATGCATCCAGTCATGCAGCTTGTTGAGTGGCCTTGAGCAAGTCAGTATTTCAGTGTCTAAATTATTCTTAGAGGACTGTTGCTTATTTATCTATTATTATTATTATTATTATTATTATTATTATTATTATTATATCTCATATTTTCTCCAATAAACTTAAGGTGGTGTGCATGGTTCTCCCTTTCCACATCTTACCTTCACAACCCCCTACGCAGTCGGTCTGGATGAGATCTGGTGACTTTTCCAAGGCCCATCAATAGGCTCTGTGGCTGAGTGCGACTCGAACCCTGTTTTCACAGGCCCTAGTCCAACACTCTAACCACTACACTACACCAGCTGCTTAAGCTAAGAAGGGTGAGAAATGTGCCAGACAAACAAAACGTAGAAGAACACTCACTTGCGTTCCTCAAGCCAGTGATATTAACAGGGTACAGGCGAAGAAGGATGAAAGGTGGCAATGAAACTGAGCAAAGAGATTGGGTGTTCTTGACACATGTCCATTTCATTGCTTCCTT